GCTTGTGTTTCCTAAAGTCCTGGCAATTTTAATCTTTTCCGTCGGAGCCCCAGTGATTCTTAACATTTTTCCCGTAATATCGACATCCAGTTCCCAAAAAATCTCTCCCCTAGGTTTAGCACCTTGAATTATGGCGGTATTTTCCCTCCCAAATCATAATTACAATCTCGCTCTTTAACGATTGTGTGAAGGGCAGTGGTATCTGGTAAGCTTATGAACAACTGCTAAAGATCGCCCAGATCGGTTTATCCTCGTCGCCAAAGTCGTTGACCTGCTCGTGATAGTCCTCGGTCGTCGCAAGTTGTCGCCGAAAAACAGTACCCGAAGCATCAAAATAAATGTGTCGTTAGGCACCGCGTTGAGAGGTCACAGCTGGGAGACACCGTCGAGACAGCGTAGAGAAGGATAGTCGAGAGATGCAATCGGGAAGTAGCGTCAAAAAGAATGCCATGAGCTCAAAAATGTTTCGGACACCTTGGAATTCACGTTTGCTTAAAAAAACCGCATCAAAGCCGCTCATATCCCACCCACGTGACTCGCCAGACCCCTTCTCGATAATTTGTCAAAAAGAAGATGCAATCCTCCATCACCTACAGTTGTCTTTGCCAAATCCTGGCACAGACGACATAGTAGTGAGGAGAGACAGTAACATGGAGAAGTAGTTGAGATTCGCGGAGACATTTTTAAAAGGTTCCCTTCTTCAGGTGGCCTCAAGAATTTTAAACGAGATTAGTTTCAAATTTTACGTTTTTTATCAAAGTGTTACTGTTAACTCAAAATAATTTTCTCATGCTTCCTTTTGCCATCACCGATTTTTCATCCAAGTTATTTGGAATACTCGTTAAAACAGAAAACGGTTTTCATTTGTACAGCTGGCAACTTCTCCAGCTACTTTTTTCAGTGCACCGTCGCCTGACGGTCAGCTTGTTGGCAGACCCGGCTTTTGTCCCCTCTCCTAGCAACCAGTTCGGTGCTCCTATCTAATTTTTTCCGGATTCAAACCATACTTTTTCTGAAATAAATTTACAACTTTTAGAGAGGCTGACTTTTCCCTGACTGACTTTTTCGTTAATTAGTTAATTTCACTCTATTTCATTTTTTCATTTTTTGAGAACTTTGATGTTTAATTAAAATAGAAGGAAATGTACTAAGTAAAGTTGACGCAAGCGCATGTTTACATACGTTCATGTCTGAGATTTTCTGTACATTCAGAAAGCTAATTGCTAACAGGAATTCGACATAAACGTTCATTAAGTCCAGGAAAAATTTCTACCTGCAGAAGATAATGCGCAAAAAAGAAACGGCTAATGGAAATCCAGGAAGAATTTTCTATGCACTGACAAACTAAGCAATAATATTTGTGGAATTCTAAAAACAGTTTTGAATTTTCTCAAAAAAATTGTGATCTCTTTGGAATAGTTTTTGATTTTTTCAAGAAATTTTGGATTTTGCATCTCAGTAAATTTTTGTCCTAATTTACTGAAACTAAAAAATTTCTCGGAAAAACTGATTAAATTGCCCAAATTTGAGTGCAGCACATAGACGAAACGGATGCCAGGATATCCAGTAGGCTCATCACTAGGTGATAGTCAGGACAAATGAAAGAGCTGTGAACCACACAGCTGGAAATCCAAACTGTACAAATTACAATTGGTCAAAGTGTTAAAATAATGACAAAAAATAATCGTTTTAGAAGAAACACGAGAATGAGCAGTGCATTGCGAATGTTCATGATTTACGAACAGCGTTTTTATTCAGGTTCTTTGTTTTACTTATAGTCATTTTTAATAGTTATTTTTATTATTTTAGCTGATTATATTACTTTTTTCTCACTAAAGAACGAAACTTTTAAAACATCAGTTTAGAAGAATCGTGTTCCACTATTACAAAATACATTAGATGCAAGAACGACATTTTTGTAGTTCTTTGCATGATCGGAGTTCATGTTCCCAAAATTCCAGCTTTCTAGCTTTTGTAGCTCTGTAGTTGGGTTATTCGGACAGGTCGACAAAGCACATGCAAACTCCATCGTGCCATAATGCTTAAATCTAAACAAATGTAAATCGGCGAGAACGTAACGATGCTAGGGTAGTCATAAGTCTTTTGTAATTTCAAACAGACTTAGTTGAATAGACAATAGACTTAGTCAAATAGGCTACTTCATTTTTGCAAGAAAATGAACAAAATTATTTCAGTTTGGAAACTCAACATACTATTGGCTACGGGTTCCGGTAAGTTTATCACCCATCGTTCATTCTTGATAACTCTATCCAACAATCCATGGTTGAGGAGATAAAACGAACGTGAGAGCAGCAAAACTATTCGGCTGTACATAATATTAGGCGACATTTTTTGAAAACAAGAACAACGCCACGATGAGCGTCTCCCTTAAATTCTTCTACGTTTTCAGGTTAACTGCCTGAGTTTGTTAACACCTCAGGAAATGAATATTAGGGTAATTGCTAAATCTTGGAAACAATTACTTTAGGCTTCTCCATAGTACTAGCAAGAATAGTGCTAGCGAGATCAAAAATTACAGGAAGTCGCGAAGCAAAACCTCAGAACCTTCGTGGATAAGCATTTCTTTGCACTAATTTACGAATTCGTATCGTGCCTTCAAGTTTTAAGTAACATTAAATTCCAGGTATACGACCGACGCCTGTCTCCCGGTATTTTTTGTCCTGTCGCTGCAGTGCGTTGTTGGTGTTTTTCTTCAAACGATGTTAGCGGGTATTGTTGTTGCTAAAGTACTGCGGCCGAAGAAACGGAAGCAGGTGAAATTTTATTCATTTCTTTCGGTTGGGTAAAAGTTGATCTCAGTTTCATCTCTTTTACACCCTTTGTTTCAGTCTTGATAAAGCGGGAAGCACCCGAAAGCAATCGTGATTGTTTTTTTTCCAGGAGATGAGATTTTCTCAAGTGGCAGTGGTAGGTCCACTTGATAACCACGATAGGAGGCCAGCATTAATGATTCGAATTGCTGATATACAAAACAATCTGTATATTGCCGAGCCTCATGTTCGACTGTACATGGCAACCTCCAAAATTAATCGGGTATTTTATGAAATCTGCACTTTCTTCGTAACTAATTACAAATCCATTGTTGTCCAGGAGTTCGAATTTATATCTTCGAAGTGCCGCAATTCCCGGCATAACTTAAGGCGGAAACTCGAATCCCCACCAAAAGCCGTTGATGTGCGACGTCCGCGCGATACCCCTACTTCCATTCCTGGCAGGCGATTTGAAAAAGATGATGCAGTCCTTTGTCGTCCACAGTTGTCCTTGCCAAATCCTCTCGCTACGCCAACAAAATTAACACAGTAGTGAAGAACAAAAACAGGAATCTGGGAAAGAAACAAGAAATAGTGCAGCTTAAAGAAGTTCCCCTCTTTGAGACTCAATTGTGGCGCCAAGAAACACAGAGCTTAGTGGACAATCGTCTCAGTCTCATCAAACTATTAATTTCACTTTGTACTATGTGTTCCAGTCACTAGTGCGCTGAGTTTTTTTCACTACTGCCTAGCATTCGTTTATTTAATAGTTCAATTAAGCTGCTTTAGTTTACCATTCGTCTGAATCGCTCAAACATCGCAGCAAAGTTTTGCAGCATACGCCGCTCTCAGAATCTACAATGTTTTTTGACTTTTCAGAAGGGCGAACGAGAACTGGTCGGTTTCAAGGATATGAACGTTGGGTACGATAGCGGTTGGGATCGTGTTCTGTTATTATGGTAATAATTGAGCGTCAAAAATTTTCGTGCTTTTTTAAGTAATTCTAGGCCTCGTTGCTTCTTTGTTTTTGAATTTCAACAACTGAGAAGTGCCCAGGAAAGTTTTCATAGATTTTAGCGTATTCCCTTTGAATCATCAGCAAACCAAAACTTAGTATCTTTATTTCCAAACCTGAATCTTCCTTCAATGGTTTTTCAACTTTCCTAAAGAATTTTATTGCATATTGCAGTTTTAGTAATTACCTAGCACTTCTGAGGTACCTTCTGGCTCAGCTATAGGAGATCTCAGTAAACACGAATTGAAGAAATTATTCAAAAAAAAAGTGCCTATGGGTGTAGCACATTGAGAGGCATTGATGTCGTGCTGTGGATGGAGGGTTCAACTCCACCAGTGGGACAACTAATGCCTCTGCAATCTGTTTATCCTTTTTAGTGATTAATTGATATTAGCGCATGCAAAAGAATCAAAACCGCCTTTAGCGTGTCTGTAATTGAAAACCTTACCAACCTCTGCTTGCTATTTGCGCGTGGGCTACTTTTGAATGCCTTCACTCAACAGAAAGTAAGTAAGTGAGAAGTTGTTACTTGACTTTTATTCAAGATAAGCCAGAAGTCAAGTTCTTAACAGGCTCTGGAGTTTTGTTTTGAAACAGTAAATTTGACATAGTATTTTCAGGCCAATAATCATAAGGCATCTTATTGACGAGCAGAGTCCGTTGTTCGCGCTGACACCTGATTCGTTGCACAATGCTGATTTTGAGCTTATTATGACTGTTGAGGGTATTGTTGAGGCTACTGGCATGACATTCCAAGCACGAACCTCTTTTCTACCTGATGAAATACTCTGGGGCTACAGGTTTGTTCCATCGCGCTGTTCTTTTAATCGGTTTTGAGTGTATTAAAAGAGAAAAATAAATCTGAAGAGGAATATTTCGGTTTATAGAATCGCATACATTCTAATTTAGTACTGCAACCTGACCTCATATGTTTATTGCGGGGATCGCTGTAGCAGATAAATTTAGCATCACTCCGGGTCAATAGTATTTCAGATCACGTTTGCGACCGAACCCCGTGGTGCCTGACTGCACCGCATTTTATTAGTTTATGGGTTGTCCCGTTTTCACACTCCAAAATTACGGGATTGGTACATTGGTACAATCAATTTTACAGCCTCTACAAATGGCATGCAATTTTATGTTTTACTTGCTGAGTCGAATAGAGTTTTTTGCCAACTGTCTGTTATTTTTGAAACTGAACACTTTTTTCCTTGAGCTTTGTAAATTTGACAGTCCTCTCTTAAATATATTTCTGTGGTTGCAGATTTCGTTCGATGGTAGTACTGAACGAGAAGATCGGCAGGTATGAAATTCAGTATAAATTATTTGATGAAACAGAGCCAATTGAAGAGATCTCCTTTAAAGAAGTGCACGCAAATGAAAGTAATGACGACGAAGATTGTTGTTTTTCTTCGCCAAGAAATAGTTCTGGATTTGTTTGATGTTTTCTTGAAGCAGGTCTTGGATTTTAGGTTTGGACTCTGTTCCACAAAACTGATCAACAGAACAGCCTAAATAATTGTTTT